AATAGAATTAATAGGAATGGGAATAGAATAGAATAGAATTAATAGGAATGGGAATAGAATAGAATAGAATAATAGGAATGAGAATAGAATAGAATAGAATTAATAGGAATGAGAATAGAATAGAATAGAATGGGAATAGAATAGAATTAACAGGAATGGGAATAGAGTAGAGTAGAATAGAATAGAATAGAATAGAATAGAATTGAATTAATAGGAATGGGAATAGAATAGAATAGAATAGAATTAATAGGAATGGGAATATAATATAATGGGAATAGAATAGAATTAACAGGAATGGGAATAGAGTAGAGTAGAATAGAATAGAATAGAATAGAATAGAATAGAATTGAATTAATAGGAATGGGAATAGAATAGAATAGAATAGAATTAATAGGAATGGGAATATAATATAATGGGAATAGAATAGAATTAACAGGAATGGGAATAGAGTAGAGTAGAATAGAATAGAATAGAATTGAATTAATAGGAATAGAATAGAACAGAATAGAATTGAATAGAAAAACAGAGTTGGAATCCTCTTTGTTGCTCTCCTCTCCACTCTTTCTAGAGTCTCAACATCTTTTTTACATTGTGGCGACCAAAACTGGATGCACTATTCTTTAATTAAAACTTTAATTTTAATTTTTTTTGGGGGGGGAAGGGGGCAGCCCTGTCGATATTCCCAATATGCAATTTTCAGGCGAAGGATGGAAACTAATCAAGGAGAGAGCCACCCTAGAAATAAGGAGAAATTTCCTGGTGGTATCACAGTTGGGCTGATGAGCAGGAAGCCAAAAATAGGCTGGGGGGGGTGGTTGGGATGTTTCTGACCCATGCAAAATTAACAGGGGTGTCTTTTTCTCTTTGTCGTTTCCCCCCCCTCCTTCCATGCTGCAGTGGTCTGTCCTTTGCCCTGTATGAACGGCGGTCAATGCACATCTGGTAACCACTGTCTGTGCCCCCCGGAATTCACCGGCCGCTTCTGCCAGATGCCCGTGAACCGCCAGGGGCAGCAGGCGCGCCCCCCCAGCGACGGGGCGCCCATGGAGACGGGTTCCAGCAAGCACGCCATTTACGCCGTCCAGGTCATGTCTGATCATCACAGCGACAGTCCCTCGGGACCGGGTTCGAAAGGCACCGTGAGCCATTCCACCTTTATGGTGCCCCTGGGGCATCACACCTCCGAAGGTAACAGGACAGAAAAGGGGGGCTGGGCTCAGGGGTGGGTTGTTTTTTGGGGAGGGAGAGGGGGGGAGGTGATAAACCCCCTCTGAGGAAGAGCCAATTTTCTCCAACCAATAAATACCGCTTTAATTGGAGAAACGGCCTAGATATAAATCTATAGAACACTCATTCAGGTCTCATAAATCAATATATTTCCAAACGTAATGTATAACTTACATGCCACTTCTTAACTCCCCCGTACCTTACAAAATTGAATACATATTTCCATCAGAAAAAGGGGATGTTTGTCATTCAGGGTTGAAATGAGGGGTCCTTGGTGCTCTCTGAGCTTGGTGGTTTTCTTGCAGACGTTTCATGACCCAAGTAGGTAACATCATCAGGCTGGTAGGGAGTGGGGTTTGTGGAGATGAGGAAGACTGTGGGGTTCTTGGTTCTCTCTGAGCTTGAGAGGAGGAGGAGGAAGAAGAGGAGGAGGAGCAGGAGAAGGAAGAAGAGGAGGAAGAACAAGAAGAAGAGGGAGGAGGANGTGGAACCTAGAATTTACATCCAATTTCCCCCTCTTGTACCCATACCTATATATACATTGTTATTATCTCTCCTGTATTTGACTATATCCATTATCATAATTTAGTTCTTTTTTATTAATCTTTATGTGTAGCCAAACCATTTCTCATCTTCCTTTCATAGGTAGCATTCAATATTCATATCCAATTACTACTTGTTATACCAGTACATATGTATACATTATTATCATTTTCAATTCTTTATTTAACCATATCTATTGTCACTAAATTTCACTAAGTCCAACTAGTTTTTTGAGCTGGTATTCTGACCGAGGTTTCCCAAGAGCCTGAAGCCAACTCCTGGTCCCAACAAAAAACCCTTTGATTAATTGATGGTGAATTCAGCTCATTCACCTCCAGCCAAATCTTTCAAGGGAGGATTTACAGTCACAGACCTTATCTGGCTTGGAGATCTGCCAGGCCCACATGTGCCAGGCGACATGGCTTCACATGTCACTTTGGGAAATCCAATATTTTTATTTTTTTTTAAATTCAAGTAGATAACGCTATTAAGATTCCTTTTTGATTCTGTGTTTCTGTATTCTGCTTTTCTGCCTAATTTTGTTCCCTATGCCTTAATCTCAGCTGCCCCCAAACCAGGCATTTATTCCCTGGCTGGTTGTGATTTTTAAAGTCAATGTTCCTTTTCTAACTACTCCCATCGCAACTCAGCTGTAACAACAACAGTGTAAAAGGGGGGGGGGGGCTTTTGCCTTTCATCTTGGCACGTTGCATCATGCAGTTTGCCCTTCAATGGCATGAGGTCTAGAAACTTTTCTTGTTTGCAAAGTAAAATCCTCCCAGATAAGGAAAAAATATCTAAAGCCGAGATTTGAGACTTTTCATTTCGGACTTCTTCGTTTCTGCTAGATTTGAAAGCTGTTTTTTATAGGTTTGCAGTTAGTTATTTGACTTGGTTTACTGCCAGCCACAAAAAAAACCAAGTGATTTACTGAAGTCTTAAAGAAGAAAGAACATTTCTGGACTTTATAACTGCAGATATTTTTTTTTTAAAGCTGTGGAGGAGTTATTTCTTTTAAAAAAAGAATCACATTCTTGGACTTTATGATTGAAGAGGTGTGCCCTATGTGAAAAATCAAACAAGTTTCTAGTCCCTGGAACGATAGGAATGCCACTTCATTTGCAATCTCTCCAGCCGGAGAGCAGTGCGTAAAAATAATATTTTGCTTAGCGTTTTTTTTATAAGCTTTTCAAAAAATGCCACAATGGAACTGGATTGAAAACTGGTTGTTAGGGATATATGAAAGAATGAAGGAAGGAGAGAGGGAGGGAGGGGGGAGGGAAGGAAGGAAGATATGAAAGAAAAGAAGGGAAGAGGAAGAAAAACGGAAGGACAGGAAGAAAGGAGAGATAGCTTGGAAGGAAGGAAGGAAAAGGAAGGAAGGAAAAGAAGGAAGAAAAATAAAAGAAGGAAAAGAAGGAAGAAAGATGGAAGGAAAGGAAAAAAAGGATGGAAAGAAAGAAAGGAAGAAGAAAGGAAAGGACAGAAAGGAAGGAAAAGAAAGGAGGGAGGAAGAAAAAAGGAAGGAAGGACAGAAAGGAAGGAAGGAAGGAGAGATAGCTTGGAAGGAAGGAAAAGAAGAAAAAGGAAGGAAAGGAAAGAAGAAAGACAGAAGGAAGGAAAAGAAGAAAGAAAGATGGAAGGAAAGGAAGGAAGGAAGAAAAAAGGAAGGAAAAGAAGGAAGAAAGAAGGAAGGAAGGAAGAAAAAAGGAAGGAAGAACAGAAAGGAAGGACGGAAGGAAGGAGAGATAGCTTGGAAGGAAGGAAGGAAAAGAAGGAAGAAAGACAGAAGGAAAAGAAGGAAGGAAGATGAAAGGAAAGGAAGGAAGGAAGGATGGAAAGGAAGGAAGGAAGAAGAAAGGAAGAAAGGAAAGAAGGACAGAAAGGAAGGAAGGAAAAGAAGGAAGGAGGGGGAGGAAGAAAAAAAGGAAGGAAGGAAAGGAAGGAAAGGAAGGAAAGGAAGGAAGAAAGATGGAAGGAAGGAAGGAAAAGAAGGAAGGAGGGAGGAAGGAAAAGAAGGAAGAAAAAAGGAAGGAAGGGCAAGAAGAAAGGAGGGATAGCTTGGAAGGAAGGAAGGAAAAGAAGGGAGGAGGGAAAGGAAAGAAGGATGGAAAGGAAAGGAAAGAAGGAAGGAAGAAAAGAAAGGAAAGGAAGGAAGAGCAGTTTCAGCCATGGTTGAAAACTACCGTAATTAAGGAGAAAACCAAGCTACAAATAAGGAGGAATTTCCTGACCCTGAGAATAATTGCAGTTAGTCCTCGACTTACAACAGTTCTTTTAGTGACCGCTCAAACTTACAGCAACACTGAAACAAGTGACTTATGATGGTTTTTCACACTTATGACCGTTGCAGCCTCTCCATGGTCAAATAACCAAAATTGAGATATTTATGACTGTTGCAGTATGGGGGGAAGCCTGATTCACTTAACAACCATATTGCTAATGGAACAATGGCAGTGATTCACTTAACAACTGTCTCACTTGGCAACACAAATTTCAGACTCAATTGTGGTTATAAGTCAAGGACTATTTGTAATCAGTGGAAAAGCTTGCCTCCCTAAGTTGTGTGTGTCTATCACTGGGGTTTTTTAAGAAGAAATTGGACCACCGAGTGTCTGAAATGGCATAAGGTTTCCTGCCTAAGCAGGGGGTTGGACTAGAAGACCTCCGAGGTCCCTTCCAACTCTGTTATTCTCTTACTCGTCCTTGTTTCGATCAGTAGAATAATGGGGTGTGTTCGCACAGGTCTTTGTTCCCATCAAAAGTCCTAATCCTCACCTTATCTCTGGTTTATGTTTTCCAGCTGTTACTCCAGCGATGGTAAGTGTGAGATGGACGGAAGAACTGTGGAAGAGGTAAAATAAAACATCTGGAAAGAAATAAAGGAATGGCCACCTTCAAATATAACTCAATCTCAGATACCGTATTTTTCAGACCAAGGTTTTGAAGAGGCAAACCTTTTAAAAAAAGTTTTTGCACTCTGCAAACCTCCCCAAAANATTAGTTCGCTTCATTGGTTCGTGACTCTCCGAGACTCCTGGCCACGTTTTGCAGACATCAGACTGGCAGCTCTCCAAGCCAGATGAGGTCTGTGACCGTAAATCCTCCCTTGAAAGACTTTGCTGGATGTGAAGGAGCAGAATTCACAGGAAATTACCGTAATAAAAGGGGTTTTTGTGGGGAGGAGGAGTTTGCTTCAGGCTCTTGGGAAGCCTCGGCCAGAACAGGCTCATGGGACTTGAGGTGGCCTCTGCGTTGGGGATAAGTCACCTCGGAGGAGTCTCAGGAACAACTCCTATCTTCTGAATCTGGAGGATGTTTGCAAATAGGAGGTTGGAGGAAGGAATGCGACCAGATGGACGTTTGAATCCCCGGAATCAGGCTTTCAGTCCAGCTCCCCCTCCTCGGAGAGCGGAAATCGCAAGAGCTACAGTGATGGAGAGTCATTTTGGGCCTTTTTCCCGCCCCACAGACATCAATGAGTGTGCCATGCAAGGCGTGTGCCAAGGAGGGGAGTGTTTGAACACCCAAGGAAGCTTCCGTTGCGCGTGTAAACCGGGACACGTTTTGGGACCTTCCCGCACCCACTGTGTGCGTATGTATCTCAACAGGTTGGGGGTGGTAGAGTTGATTCTCTCTCCCCCCCTCTCCCTCCCTCCTTTTCATTCTCCCCCCTCTCTCCCTCCCTCTCTACATCCCGCCCTCCTTCCCTTTCCCTCCCTCTCTTTCTCTCCCTCTCTTGGTGCCCCCCTCTCTCCCTCTTTCTCCCTCGTTCCCTCTCTTTCTCCCTCTCTCTCCCCTCTCTCTGTCCCTCCCCCTTTCTCTCCCTCTCTTTGTCCCTCCCCCTCTCTCCCTCCCTCTTTCTCCCTCCCTCTCTTTCTCTCCTCCTCTTTCTCCCTCTCTTGGTGTCTCCCTCTCTCTCCCTCTTTCTCCCTCCCTCCCTCTTTCCCCTCTCCCCTCTCTCTGTTCCTCCCTCTCTTTCTCTCCCCCTCTTTCTCCCTCTCTTTGTCCCTCTCCCCTCTCTCTCCCTCCCTCTTTCTCCCTCCCTCCTTCTCTTTCTCTCCCCCTATCCCTCCCTCCCTCTCTTTCTCCCTCCCTCTCTTTCCCCACTCTCCGTCCCTACCTCTCTTTTTCCCTTTCATTGCCCATCCCTCTTTCTCTCTCTCTCCCCTTTCTCCCTCCCTCCCACTCTTTATCTTCCTCCCTCTCTTCCTCCCACTCTTTCTCTCCCTTCCTCCCTCTCTCCCCTCCTCCCTCTCTCCATCTCACCCTCCCTCCTTCCTTTTCTCTCCCTCCCCCCGTCCCTTACTCTCCCTCTCCCTCCCTCTCTCCTTTTTTCTCTCCCCCCTCTCCCTCCCTCTCCCTGGGAAAGCCTCTGCCTCCTCTGATCTCCCTCTCTGTCTCTCTTTTTTGGGGGGAGGCCAGCGGAGAAAGCTGGGGAAAGGAGTTCGTGTTATCGGCTGGTGACCCCCGAGCAAACGTGCCAACATCAGCTCTCCACCAAGCTGACTCGGCAAACCTGCTGCTGCAGCGTGGGCAAAGCCTGGGGTGACCACTGCGAGCGATGCCCGGCCGACGGAACGGGTGAGTCGAAGGGCCGGTGGGGGGGACGGGAAGGGCGCTTGGTCGGCTCCCTTGAATTCATCCGCTCGGATCATCTTGCTTCTCTGTCCCGCTTGTGGCTCGGGACCTCCCTCTCCGTGTCCTCGCTCGGTATTGTCTTTTGAATGCCGGGCTCCTTTCCCTTGCTCGGGATGGGCTACGGGGGGGGGGNCCTAGTTGGGTCACGAAATGTCTGCAAGAAACCCACCAAGCTCAGAGAGCACCAAGGACCCCACTTCTCCTTTGTTTCAATTGTTTTGTCTCTCAGATATTGATGAATGCCTTGATCCTGGAACTTGCCCTGATGGGAGATGTGAAAATAAACCTGGCAGTTATAAATGTATCCCATGCCAGCCAGGCTTCCGGGCCCAAAATGGCATATGTTATGGTAAGACATACTGCAACCGCTTCTCAGCTTTAGCAAGAGCTTCAGAATTGATGGTTATGGTTGTTGTTGCTGTTTTTAAAAGAGTTAAGTGTCTAGTCCTCATAATGAGAAAAGTTATCAGATTGATGGTTGCTTTTAAAAAGAGAGAAGCATCTAGTCCTCATGATTAAAAACGCCAGACAGTGGTTGTTTTTAGAATAGAATAACAGAGTTGGAAGGGACCTTGGAGGTCTTCTAGTCCAACCCCCTGCCCCAAACAGATATAGATCCTTGACTTACAACTGTAACGGAGCCTGCCCATTGCACTTATGTCATGACCGTTGAAAAGTGAGTCATCATGTGACAGGCCCAATTATATGGCCTTTTTCATTGTTGTTCTTTTTTACAGCGGTCGTTAAACAAACCTACTGTTTGCTAGGGAGCATTTTTGCCGAAGACGGGAAGCAAATGTTGTTTTTTTGGGGGGAAATTGTGATAAATTGTGGTCTCATCACTACAGGAGGCTGTAAATAGCTATCAATGAGGGCCAGTCATGTGACCACAGAGGGGAGGGGGCAGTTGTCAGAACTTTTGAACTTTTAAAAAGAATCTAGTCCTCATGACTAAGAATATTGTCAGCCTTTATGCCCCAAAGGTGGGTGTTTTTTTCCCCCCAAAAGGGAACTGGACTTTCTTGTTTTTTCCTTCGAAGACATTTCGCTTCTCATCCAAGAAGCTTCTTCAGCTGTCAGACTTCAGGGTTGTTTTTAAAAAGAGTCTAGTCCTCATGACTTAAAAAAAAAAACCATTAGACTTTATGGTTGTTTTAAAAAGAGTGTAACCCCTCACGAGTGAAATATATTGCAAGACTTTATTGTGGTTGTTTATTATTTTTTTAAAAAAGAGTTTCTAGTCCTCATGATGAAAAAAAAGGTTTGGATTCCGTGGTGGTTGGGGAAGGCCTCCGAGGTCCCTTGCAGTCGTACGACTCTATAGGGCCCTGTTAGAGCAGGGTTTCTCAACCTTGGCGACTTTAAGTCCTGTGGACCTCAACTCCCAGAATTCCCCAGCCAGCTACGCTGGCTGGGGGATTCTGGGAGTTGGAGTCCACAGGACTTAAAGTCACCAAGGTTGAGAAACACTGTGTTAGAGTTTGCAGCGATCCAACCAGCACACAAGTAAATAATTCTGCAGGATTCATTTATAGAAGAAACTGCTTTGTATACAATAATATAAAACATGATGCAGGTATACAATACCCATGCAGCTGTTGCAATGTAGTAGCAAGGACAAGGACAAGAAGCAGAAGCCAGAATCAGAACAACCAGAACCCAGAATCACAGAAGCTATTTTGCAAGGACAAACCATCTCTTATATATAGAACACTTAAGCTAAGACACGCCCAGGCACTACAGATCCTGTTTTTTTTTGTCACCAAACAGTTCCCATTGGCTGACTGGTTGCTATGGCTATTTCAGCTCATAATTTCTTATACACTGACAGGTCCTAGCATCAAAAGAGCTCATTGTCCTGTTCTTCTCCCCCCCCCCTCTCCCCAGATGTGGATGAGTGCGCCGAGGATGTTTCCTGTAAGCATGGCTGGTGTGAGAACATGGCCGGCTCCTTCCGCTGTTCCTGTGGGGACGGTTTTGTGCCTGCCGCTGATTTCCGCAGCTGCGTCGGTAAATTCCGCTCCCTATGCAGAAAACTCCACTCCGTCAGTTGAAACGGGGCCCTTTTATTGCTTCAAACCTACACAAACGCTTCCAAGTTTCTGGCAAGCAAGTCCCAGAGCAGAGTGAGAACAAACACACAACACAACTCTCACACAGCCTCTGCTGAAATTTGTCCAGCCCGGTGCTGTCTGCAGCAAAGGCTGCATGGCAAGAAATCCCAAATGTATTTGGCAAAATACAGGGAGCAAAAGAGTCAGATAATTAGTGCAGAATGCCTCTTCAGTCTGCACTGATCATGCCTTCTCTGCACTCTCCTAACTCTTGGATCAGGAGCGGGTGGTTCTTGCTCCTCATCTGAGCTCTGTTTCTTCTCCCTGCTGGCAGGCCTGACGAATTCCGAACAGCCTTATTCGGTCTGACTCTGCCCTTCCCCAGTTTCCTCCAAGGCCAACGGAGCTGCCCTCTCACTGTCAGCTCTTATGCCAGACTCCGACGGGGAGGCATGACAATCTGATTCTTCTCCTCTTCCTGCAGATGTCAACGAGTGCCAGAACGGTTCTTTGTGCACCCACGGGGTTTGCGTAAACACGCTGGGGTCCTTCAAGTGCCAGTGTCCGGCGGGTTTCCAGGCCGTGAAGGACGGGCCACGCTGCAAGGGTGAGAGAGGGAAACGCATGAACTCCCGGGAGTTTTTTCTTCGTGGTGGGGAAAAAGAACTGTTGAGCATGCGGAGAAGGCTGGTCTGCCAGTGTTTTCCGTGCCTCGGAAGCCACCGGGGATGTGATTAAAATTTGGGCCAGCATTTTTGCTTGAAAAAAAAATAAATAGAATGCCATGAGGTTAAGCCAGCGTTTCTCAAGTTTAGCAATGGGCAGCAAATCTCACACTCCCTGACACTGATGGCATTACCGAATTGGGTAAGAAGACTGCAAACAAATCACGGAGCTCAGACTGCACCAAAAGCTCCAAGGATTAAAATGTTCAGTCCCAGCCTCACTTGAGCTCCCAATTCTGTTTAATTAGTTCTCTTCTCTTCTCCCCTTCCCTCCTCATCCTCCTGCCTTTCTCTTCTCTCCTTCCTTCCTTTCTTTTCTCCCCTTCCCTCCTTCCCTCTCTTCCACCCTTCCCTCCTTCCTTCTCTTCTCCCCTCCCCTCCTTCCTTCCTCTTTTCTCCTTCCCTTTCCTCCTTCCTTTCTCTTCTCTCGTCTTCTCCTCCCCTCCCTCCTTCCTTTCTCTTCTCCCCTTCCCTTTCCTCCTTCTTCCTTCCTTTCNGGATGGACAGATGGGAGGATGGATGGATGGATGGATGGATGGATGGGAGGATGGATGGATGGAAGGAAGGATGGATGGATGGATGGATGGAAGCAAGGAAGGATGGATGGAAGGAAGGAAGGATGGATGGGAGGATGGATGGATGGGAGGATGAATGGATGGGAAGATGAATGGAAGGATGGATGGATGGAACTAGGTGTGTTTGGCCTAAGAAAGAGAAAGGTTGTGGTGACATGATTACAGTCTTCCAATATTTGAGGGGCTGCTGCAAAGAAGAGGGGGTCAACTTATTCTCCAATGCACCAGAAGGCAGGGCAAGAAGCAACGGATGGAAATTATCCAAAGATAGATCCAATTTAGAATGAAGGAGAAACTTTCTGACAGTGAGCACAATTAATTAGTGGAGCAGTTTGCCTCCAGAATAGCAATAGCATTTAGACTTCTATACCGCTTCAAAGTGCTTTCCAGCCCTCTCTAAGCGGTTGACAGAGTCAGCCTCTTCCCCCCCCCCCAACAATCTGGGTCCTCATTTGACCCACCTCAGAAGGACAGAAGGCTGAGTCAACCTTGAGCTGGTCAAGATCGAACTGCTGGCAGTGGGTAGAGTTAGCCTGCAGTACTGCATTCTAACCACTGCGCCACCCGGGGCTCTTCAGAAATGGTGGTTTTTAAGAAGAGATCAGACAACCATTTGTCTGAAATGGCGTAGGATTTCTTGCCTGAGCAGGGGGTTGGACTAGAAGACCTTCAAGGTCCCTTATAACTCTGTGATTCTGTTATTAAGTCAGGGGGGAGATGCTTTGTTCACTCTTATGCCTCTTCTCCCATTAGATATCGATGAATGTGCTCGGCCCAACATCTGTGGAGACGGCGGTTCCTGCATCAATTTCCCAGGACACTACAAATGTGAATGCCATGCTGGATATCGGCTGAAGCCCTCCCGGCAGCCGCTGTGTGAGGGTATGGAGTGGGGAGCCAGGTTGGGGAATGCCCAAGTGGGTGGGGTCCTTCCTGCGCTTCCTGTGGTTGATGGTTTTCTGGCAGACATTTCACTACCAAAGTAGGTAACATCATCAGTGTTGCTATAGTGATGCACTGGTCAGTGTCAATGCACTGATGCGGTTACCTAGTTTGGTAATGAAACGTCTGCAAGGAAATAATGAAGCTCAGAGAGGAGCAAGGACACCACAGCAGTCGTCCTCCTCCTCCCTTCTGCAAACTCCCCTCCATTATAACTCTGATGATGTTCCCTAGTTGGGTCATGAAATGTCTGCAAGGAAACCACCAAGCTCAGAGAGCACAAAGGACCCCACATTCTTCTTCTTCTTCTTCTTCTTCTTTTTCTTCTTCTTCTTCTTTTTCTCCTCCTCCTCCTCCTCCTCCTCCTCC